CCATCAAAGATGCTTCAGAGAGCACCTGGGCTCTAGGCATCAATGTCTGTCTCACCCTGCACTGTGTCCCTAGCCCCCAGCACACTGCCTGGCAATGAGTTGACTTTCAACAATTATTGTACGCAGGAGTAGTAGCAAGGACTTTGATCTCTGATAAATAAGCACTACAGTAGACAAACCAGGTGGGTTTGAGAAGGTCATCCCAGGAGAAGAAGCAGTGCGCAGAGAGGAATGGAGGGAAAAGAGTTTGGCCCATTTGAAGCAAACTGTTATCGAGACACAGGGACTGGGGAAGGTGAGAGATAGAAGAGAGGCTCTCTGCCCCAAACCTCTCTAGAGCTCTCAAGACACAAAAGGAAATAGTTTGTGGGACTGAAGAGATGGCTCAGCAGTTAAGAGCACTGGCTGCTTTTCCAGAAGAGCCAGGGTTGGTCTTCAGTACCCACATGACAGCTAACAACCATCCATAACTCTAGTTTCAGGGGATCTGATGTCTTCTTTTGGCCTTTGTGGGTTTGCACCCACATGATGCACTTACATACATGCAGGCAAAACATCCATACACATAAAATAAAAATAAATGAATCAAAAAATTTTTAAAGGAAAGATTTGTCCCATAGAGCCCTGGAAATAAGGCTAAGAGCAATACAAGGGATCACAGGGAATCAGAAGACAGTTTCATATAAAGAGCTTTCTAACAGAGCTGCCCAGCCATGGAATAGGCTGTCTTGGGAGCAATGATCAAATTTCCAAATAAGAAAAGCAGATGCCTGACAAATTCTTGGTGCAACAAATTGCTTTCTGTAGATGCATATTTTTCCCTGGCTAGATTTAGAATTCTAAAATCATGCCCCCACATACACCTTTCTCCCATTTTTTGAGACAGAGTATGCTTATATAGACCAGGCTGGCCTTAAACTAGATGAGGTCTTCCTCTCTCTGCTTTCCAGGTAGTGGGATGACAGGTGTGCAGTACCACACCTAGCTCAAATCTCCAAATCTCTTTTTATGTGGTTTGTGTGTGTGCGCGTGTACATTTCTATATGTGTGTGCACCTGTGCATGTGAATTACCATAAGGCCAGAGGTTTACATTGAGTATCTTCCTGAATTGCTCTCCACCTTATTTTTTGAGGCAGGGGTCTGTCACTGAACCTGGAGATCACCTATTGGCTAAGATGGCTGGCCAGTGAGCTCCAGGGATCCATTTGCCTCTGGATCCTCAATGCTGAGGTTACAGATGCTTGCCATTGTGCCAGATATTTTTGTTTGTTTGTTTTTTGAGACAGGGTATCCCTGTAGCCCCAGCTGTCCTGTAACTCACTATGTAGACCAGGCTGGCCTTGAACTCACACAGATCCATCTGCCTCTGCCTCCCAAATGCTGGGATTAAAGGCATGCGTCACCACACCCAGCTGTGCCAGGATTTTATGTGGATGTTGGGGATCCCAATTCAGATCCTCATGCTTGTATAGCAAGCACCTCCATAGCCCATCAATTCTCTTTTTTGAAAGGATGTTAAATGATACTATCTTCAATACTGGACAACTATTAAATGGACAGTTAAATGAACAACAGTCTTCAACACTGTTCCTGCAGAAGGCCCAGCAGTTTCCTTTTATTTTTTGTAGTGATAGGGATCAAACCCAAGGCCTTGTACATGCTTAGCAAGAAGTCTACCACTGAAAACTTGTGGTTTTTTTTTTTATTAAGTCTGAGGCCAACAAGGATGTCTCTTGCACTCAAATGAAAGAATAATGTCTTTTGAAACCACTGAGGTCTTTTCTCATTCATTCAATGATTACTATATAGTGTCTTTGTGTATCATAAGTTTTGTTAAGTGCTAGTAAGTGAAAAAAGTTATCTGCCTCACAGTACTGAGTGAACTTGGAAACAGATAGTCACAATCTACTCTACACATAGATAAAAAAATTCACTAGAGTGCTTGCCTAGAATGTACGAAGTCCTAGGAATGATCTTCAGCATCATCAAAATTTAAAGAAAAAAAAAGTCTTTACCTGGGAGAAAGAGTGAAGAACCCCAGAGGGGGAGGGCTAGAAATGTAGTTTCACTGGTAGAGTGCTTACCCAGCATGCAGGAGGCCCTATGTCCAATCTCCAGCTGGGTGTGGTAGTATAGCCCTATAATTCCAGCACTCAGGAAGATCAGAAGTTAGAGGTCATAGGAACCTAGGGAGATGGGTCAGTGGGTAAGAGCGCTTGTTGGGCAAACATGAGGACCTGAGTTCAAATCCCCAGCACCCACGTAAAAGGTTGGATGTGGCTGATCAAGCCTGTAACCCCAGCGCTGTTGTGGGAGGGGATAGGAGGATCCCTGGGGCTTGTTGGCTGCCAGTCTAGCACCAGATTCAGAGAGATGTCCTGTCTCAAGGAAATAAGGCGGAGAGTGATAGGGCAGGACACCTGCTGCCTTACTCTGGACATAGCAGGCAAGGCAAAGGCTTGTGTACCATCATACACAGGTATGCATAGTACACACACACACACACACACACACACACACACACACACACACACACACACACCAGAAACAGAGAAAGAAAAAAGAAGCTCAAGGTCATAGCATGTTCTAGCCTGCTATGCAAACCTATTTTCCTAACCATTGGGAGGTCAAAACAGGAGGAATATTGAAGCCAGCTGGGGCAAACTTGGCAAGACAGGGCTGGGGGTAGAATTCAATTATAAGGCACCTGCTTGCTATGCTCAAGACCCAAGATTTAAGAGGCAGAAGGGAAGCCATCTTCCAGCAGAAGGAAAATATGTACAAAGGTACAGAGACAAAAATGCATGACCACTTTGGCGAGATGAGTGCTTGGTAAAGTGTAGGGTGTGGGGAGGGAGGCAGCTGGAGAGATAGATAGCTCACCAGTTAAGAGCACTGGTTGCTCTTGCAGAAGATCTGGGTTCAAATCCCAGCACCCACATGGTGGCTAACAACCATCCATAACTCCAGTTCCAGGGGATCTGACACCCTCTTCTGTCCTCCATGGCCATTGCATGACACCGGTACACTTACATACATGCATACATATAAAAATTAAAATAATAAGATGAGTGTGGTAGCACATGCCTTTAATCCCAGCACTCGCAAGGCGGAGGCAGGTGGATCTCTATGAGTTTGAGGCTAGCCTGGTCTACATAGCACGTTCCAGGCCAGCTGGGGCTACAGGGAGACCCTGTCTCAAAAAGACCAAAAAAAATTAAAATAATAAATAAAATTTAAGTTTAGGGTAGGTGGCAATGACAGAAAGGAGCCCAGATGTACATGGTCTGGAATCCAGTGCTGAAAGTTTTCCCTCTTCATCCTGTGAGTGATAGGGTGACCATTATGGGTTTAAGTAGGAAAGCAATGGGATCAGATTTGTAGTACAAATGATCACCATAGCTCTTATGACAAATGTGAGGAAATCACACTGGAGGGGCCCAGACTAGGGACAGGAGATCTGTTAACAGGCTGTTAGAAAAGGCCAAGAAAAGACTGAAGACAGCAAGAGCTCTGTGATAGAGATGGAGAGGAGAACTAAGGTGGTATTAGTGCTTTGGTGAAGTCTAATAAGCAGACTAGGAGCCAGCAAGACTGTCTCTTATGCTTAAGATGTCAAAGTAGGTACGTACACTTTAGCCATATTTGTCTTGATTCTGAGATCCCAGAGAAGTGTTGCTTCTGGGTCACTGGTTTCTTCTATTGTTCACGAGGGGTAGAGGGTATGGCAACAGTGGAATGGGGAGTCTAGCCTTAGTCCAACCTTAGCCTACCCCATCACTGAACCACTGCTCTAACAGAGTGGGATGTGACCCATCATCTCCTCTCCTACTCTTTCACTGGTCTTGCTGAGACTCTGGTAGCTCTACAAGAGAGGCTGGTCCAAAGCAAGGATGCCTGTGTTTACCCAAAGTGCCCTGCAAGATATGGATGGAGCCAGGACCTTGACTCTGCTTCTTCATTCCAGAGTCTGGGTGTGGACAAAGCTGGTTGTTCTCTTTTTGGGGTCCTATTGGTTCAGGTGCTCATTCAACACAAGGTCTGGAACAGCAACCTGGCTGGGTTGTCAGGGCTCTGCCCTCAGGGTGCTTGTCTCCTGGTGAAAAGACAACACCTTCACAAGCCCTGTACCTTGCGCATGCAGAACAGTGAGCCTTCACCTATGTTGACAAAAGTTTGATGGAGGGTTGTTTGAGGAGAAGGGAAAGGCTCAGAAGGAAAGTCTTGCTGGGCTAGCTCTCAACCAGGGGATGGCGCCTGGGGACACCTATGATCGGAGACAAAGCACTGGCATCTAAGTACTCGGATTGGGGGGATTCTTTCTGAAGTTACAGTGCTTTTATGTTCCTGATCTCATTTGGTCCTTGGCAACAATTGTGGCACGGTATTAAAAGACACTAACATGGTCTTTATAATGCTGGGGTAAATGACTCCAACGGAATTAAGAACCAAGTGTCTGATTCCACCTAGTTGCTGAACTCTGCACACTAAGCTGAGGTCTCCTGACCTGCGCTGGCGCTCTTCCCACCCAGACCCTGTCATCTCATCCTTCTCTGCTGAAAAGTTCCTTCTGAAGTCTAACTGGGCTTGGCCCTCCTGCATTCTGGGCACCTCGGGGAGTCAGGGGTTAAAACCCGTGGCACGAGTGGCCCCTTCCCCCTCCCCAGCCCCCTCGCCCTCCACTCGGCGCCTCGCCTGGAGACCCACACAAGAAGGGAGGGGGAAGTGGGCTTGTTTCTCGGGTGGCCAATCCACGAGCCCGCGGTGCCTCAGAGGAGGCGCCAGCGCTAGGCCAGCCCGGGGCTGCGGGCTTCCCGCGGCAAAGTACAAATGCGCCGGAGCGCGGCGTCTGGCGCCCGAGGCGTGCACAGCCCGCCCGAGCATAGCCTCCCCCGCGCCCCGCCGCGCCCCAGGCCCGCGCCGCGGGACCCCCGAGCCCGCCGAGCAGCCGCGCCGTCGCCACCAGCCGCGCACCCCGGAGCCCCGCGCCTCCCGGGAACCTTGCCCGGCGCCGCGCACCCCGCGCACCCCTGGCCTCGCCCCTTGTTCTCTCACCTTCTTTCTTCGACCGCCTCTCCCTCCTGGCGGACCTTCCTCCACCACTCCATCTCTCCTGGTCCTCTTTCTTCCATCCACTTAGTCCCACCTTAGACCTTTCCTGCCCGGCTTGGCTTCTCGGGATCTTTGCTTCTCTGCCTCCCCTCCGGGCAATCCTGCTGGGTCTGGGGACTACTGATTTGTGTCCCCGTACCTCATTGCCCCTCTTGGCTCTCTCTCCTGGCCCATTCCTGGGCTGCCTGGTCCTGGGGGAAGGCAGGATGTTTCCTGAGGTGAAGACCCTCTCCTCTTTGCTGGGACTCTTGATGCTCTGGTTCCCCTTGGACTCCCAAGCCCGAGCCCGTAAGTAGAGGGCCGGCAGAGGCTGGGTGGGCAGGGGAGGGATGCCGGTGTCTGGGATGTGCGGGGAAGGTGTCAGGACCTGAAACCCCTGACGTGTGAGTCCATCCAGGCAGCACCTGCACAGCAGGGGCGGAGACTGCTCTGCGGACTCCTGTGGGCTGGTGACTCTGAGGGGACTGCATCCAAGCTGAGGGGAGCCCTGGCTGGAGCAGGGTGCCCAGCGCTGTAGAAGAGAACCTGTTCCTAGCAGCCGGGTGTGTTGCTGAAGGAAGGGGGTGTGTTGGGGAGAGTTCTTGTACAGAAAGAAGAGTTAAGTAATCATTCTAGTCCTTTATCTCTTTTGACCCACACAACACTCCAGTACAGTGTCATCATTTTACATTTAACAGGAAACATCACATTTAATGAGAAAACAGGCAGAGCAAAGAGAAGGAAGTCATAGAGCTGTTAAACCATCCAAAGAGAGATCTCTAATTCCAAAAGGCACTCTGATGTGTAGCTGTGGGACTCTGGGAGGCAGCGGAAAGCAGTGAGAAGGACCACTGGAGTGACTGGTGGGAGGCAGGCATGGAGATCACCTCTCTGAGCCTTACTTCTCTAATCTGTACAATATGAGTGGGGCTCCCAAGATGGTTCTGAGGACTGAATGACAGAAAAAAGGCAGAGCAGCTAGCTGGGATGTTACCAGGTAGCTTCTCCAATCCATGCCTGATCCATGCTTTTCCTCCAGCACAGGCTAACCTCAAGCAGGTAATGTAATCTCAACAGCCCTGTTTCTTTATTAAGCCTTTCTGCCCTCCCTTGATAAAGAAATAGAGGCCAAGGAGGGGCAGTAGCTTGCTCCAGGCCACAGGGCAGAGCCTGGAAGACCCCAGTTGCCCGTCTCATAACTGGGTGCCGTTCCATCCCCACAGCTCAGCTCTGTCAGCCAACTGTGCTTTTCTTTTGCATGTGGCTTTGTGGATCTGGTGAGGCTGATTTTTGTCTGTCTCCTCTTTTCTGGTGAGGAGAAGGCTGCATGTCTGTCTGATGTCCCTAGCCCTGCCATTAACATGAGATTCAGAGAAGTTCTTAGAACAACTAGTGAAACAAGCTCAGTGTTGGGTTCCAGGCCTGGCTCTACCTCTTACACCTGTGTCACTTCATAATAGCTTCTCTGAGCTTCAGTTTTTTCATCTGCAGACCACAGCTGCTAACCTGGAACCCAAAGGTTTTGGGAAGGATGAAAGGAGGTCATATGTCAAAACACCCAGCACAATGCTGAATACTCAGTATATGTCTCCTCCCCTTCCTGGAACCCTGAGGGTTTCCTCCTAGCCTGGTCTGTAGTTCACTGAAAGACATTTAGTCCAGGGGCACTCCATGCCTGCCAGCAGCCTTCCACTTGGCTTTGGCCTTGGCCCCAGGCCTTCACTGCAGACATCATCACCCTGGGTGAAATCAGACCACTATGAGGGTTGCTCATGGGCACTCACAGCCTTCCTCCATGACTGTCAGCCCTTGAGAGCTCTGCTCCGGTCACCTCTTTCAGAAAACTCTGCCTGGTGACCTGTTCAGGCTGACTGCCCCTACTCTGTGCCTCCATTGACCTTTGAGTTCATATCTGTCACCAAGTCTTCCAGTGTTCTAAATACAGAGAGCTCCAGATACTAAAAAAAAAAAAAGGACTGTCACCAAGGTAGGCGGCCTGGCGATGGCGGGAGGATGCTACAAGGTCACAAAGGAAAGAACAGAGACCTGGGTCCTAATCCCTGATTTGTCACTTATTGGCTATGTGAACTGGGACACTTCTCTCTAAGCCTAATGTTGATTGGTACTGTAATCTGCCAGCACCCTGTTTGAAGGGCTCTATGCCTCAGTGTAAGCAAGAGTTAAAGCTTATTGTAGGTAAGAAGTTTCTTGGTGACAACCAAAGTGCTTTTACAGATGGGCATTCTCAGTGGCCACACACTGCAACATGCCCAGGGCCTGTTAGCAGGGTTTTGACAAACTCCTTAGTCAGATTCCAAAGCTGCTCAGCAAAGGTTATTCTCTCTTTGGCTCTATTTCCAGCCATAGATCCAGACTGAGTCTTAATGAAGCCATAGCCCAAGCCTTAACTGTCCAGCCCTGCCACTGACTGAACTCAAATCCCACCTGAGGCTGGAACCATCACACAGACCGGGTCCCTGGCCTGGTTCCTGGCTGGCTCTGACCCCAGTCTTAGACTGAGCCACATCTCTGTGGTTGTTCTCTGGTCACTCATTCCCTCTGGGACCTAGACATTTTCTTGTTTCCTCTCCAGTGCTTTCTCCAGCACTGGCTTCTCTCTGCATTTTGTCCTTATGAACTGTCCTTTATATTTTTTTCAGATTTGTTTGTTTTTATGTATATGTGTGTTTTGCCTGCATGTAGGTATGTGAATCATGTATATGCCTCATGCCTGTGGATGCCAGAAGAAGGCATTGGATTCCCCTGTAAATGAAGTCATAGATAGCTGTGAGCTGCTTTGTGCGTGCTGGGAACTGAACCTGGTCCTCTGCAAGAGCAGCAAATGCTTTTAACCACAGAGCCATCTCTCCAGCCCCCAAACTTGTCCCTTTTAGGTGTCCAACATGCTTTCTCTTCCCTCCCTCCAGTCAAGGCTACCTTCCAGAGAGAGCCAATTGTCAAGTGAAACATCAGCCCTCAAAGATTTGTGTATTATGGGAATTGATGCTTTGGTTCCCAGGTGATGGAAACTCAGACTCAGACCCCAGAAGTGGGCCTGGGGCAGAAAGGTAGCTCCTCATGGGATGATGTGGTTCAGAGGGCAAACTTGCCACCAGAAGGTCAGAGTTGTAGTGCTGGCTCTGTCCCTAATTCCAAATGTGATTTGGGTGCCATGTCCTCTGTCTCCGATTGCCATCTGTAAGGTGAAATTGTTGACCTCAAGTGGGTCACCATTGAGGACCATGGTAGCATCAACTGCCTGTCTTCCTAAATTTCTAAGATCCAGACATGTGCTTGTCTTTACCCCGAGTCCACTCTGATCTTTGGGGAAGAATGGGGAGTTGGGAGCATGTAGGAGGAGATGAACAGACCCTCATACACTTGGAAAAAGTGCCTAGGGGTCTAGGGAAATAGGTGTAGTGAGATACCAGTATGGATTCATGCCATGATGTCCAGCTTAGTCCCATCCCATCCATCTGTCCAGAAATGTGAGAAGGAGTGGGGAGCACCTGAACGAAGGCCTGAAGTTGAGCTTTGGGTAGACCCTGAGCTTTAGGCAAACTCCAGTCTGGGTCTCTGACCAGGAGGTTCTGCACCTCTCTGCTCCTACCAGTAGAGGTCTCTGTCTCACTCACTGGCTCCAGGCTGCAAGCCTAGTGACAGCTGCGCAGTTGCTCCAGCTGTTGCACCTGTTCCAGGACTGGCCTCTCAAATTCCCCCAGCCAAGGGCCATGGCGCCGGCTCAGAGAAAAGAACCTTGACTGTCTTGGACCCCAAAAGAGTAAGACTGATGTGAGAGTGGTATCTCTAGGAGGTCCAATACCAGGATCATTCAGGCATCCCCCTGCCTTGGACTGGACCCCAGCCTGTGCCCATTCTTGTACTCAGGAGTACAAAATGACAAGCTGAGTCACTTTGCTCACAAATTGGAGCTAATTTTCCTGGTTCTGTCTCTTGAATGGGTGTCTCTATGAGCATCCTCTCCAGACCCACAGACTGACATTGATGTTTGTGCTGGCATGGTTTGGGGCTCTCTGGCAAGTCTGGCTCCCTCTTTGGGGCTCACTTTCTTTTTCTCTAGAATAAGTGGATTGGGTATAATCTGAGTCCCTAACTCTCTAGAATTCTATGAATCTAAGTGTATATGCTCAAGGCAAATGCAAATAGCCCCCTCCCTGCCTCTGCCCTTGACAGGTAACAGAACTGCCCTTACTGGCTTGACGATCCTGTCCTTGGAAACCCTTCTGAGCTCTGCAAATCTGTCATGTCCAGATGAGGAGAACTGTGTTCAGAGAAGTGCATCTCTTTTACTTTGTCGTGTGGCTCAGACACTGAGGTTTTTCTTCTGATTTCCTTAACAGACCTCCCTCAAGGGAAGCCAGAGCCCAGAGCAAAGCTTATGTGTTGGAAAGGAGCAAGTTTATTTGTGTGAAGTTGGGATTATAAATAAATAAATAGAGAAAGTATGGCTATGTGGGCAGAAGTGGGATCTGAACATCTACATTCTTGAGCAACGTGGCTCACTCAGGTTTTCCCCATAATTCCAGATTTTTCTCTCTCCTCTCATCCTGTTCCTCCTGGTGCATTTCTATGGCCTTCTCCAACTTCTCCAGAAGCTTATTTCTGGTTGTCTTTTCTGCTTCCTATTGGAAGAGCTCCCAGCCACACCACCCACCCCTGACTTGCCCATTATCATAGACAGAGAGTTTCAGGTCAGACTGCGGGATGCACCAGGATGCAGACACTGTAAATGCTGCCTTACATTTGAAGATGATGGAGTCTCATGGAGTCATCCATGCCCTCAGCTGCTCCAGGCTTCTGACCTTTTTGTACATGGTGTTCTTTTGGTTTGGCAGGTAGTTTGGGACTTAGTGGCCAGGAACTGGAAGGGGAGGTCAAAGGCTAATTGCTGTTATATAGCAAGATATACCTGTTAAGAGGGACTTGGAACTCCTTCCATGAAATAAAGTCTCTTTTCTGGTAAAGAGAGAGGTTTTTCAGGATTAAAGCCCACAATTAGCTCCTCCCCTATAGCCACTCTTTCCTATCCTATTAATTCCATTTATCCATTCACTCACTCTTTCATTCATTCATTCATTCATTCATTCAAGTATTAACCATATGCATTCTGTACTGGCTCCAGGATTCACCATCTGTTCCGTCCTCCCACACTCAGTTTAGTGTGGAAGACAAACCAACCCACTCAACAAGTGCTTCCAATCCATGCTGATATTGAATTGTGAAAGACCTGAACTTGGTCCTGAAGGAGAAGCCAGAGCACTTCAGGGTTGAGGTGACTTTGTAGGAAC